TGCCCCAGCCACGACTGAGAGACGGCAGGACAGAGAGGGACGGATCTCAGACAAGGGACTTCCCATGCCATCCTCACACTGGCCATTCCTCACCACTAACCTGACAGGTGGTGGGGGAGGGGCGGAGGGAGCCAGAGGGCATGTCGTCAGGAGAGACCGTACATTAGGCTGCTGCGGTGTCAGCCTTTCTCCTTCCTCCTGACGATCTCCCTCTTCTTCAATGTGCTTGGAGGCCCTTGGCATTTTTTTTTTAACCCTCGGCATTTGTGAACATCGTTGTTCGTTCACAAATTCTGAGGTAGCTTGTGCTTGGGGGCCCTTGGCATTTTTTTTTTTTAACCCTCGGCATTTGTGAACATCATTGTTCGCTCACAAATTCTGAGGTAGCTTAGTTGTGCCAGGTGGGCTCCCCTCCTGCGCCCCTGCCATGTCCATCAGGCCACTGTCCAGGATCACAGAATTCTTCTAACACCTAGGGAAGGGTGAAAGGCCGAGAGGTTTATTGCTGGGTGGCCTTGTTGTGTAGATAAGAAAAATTAATCATTGTCTAATCCAGGAGCAGCTAGGAGTCCAGACCCTCTGGCCTGGGCTGTGAGCTCAGATTCCACAAAGTTTTCCTTACGACCTTCCTTCCCTGGGCTGTGCCTACCCTCACCCACATGGCCCTTTGTCTCCTGCAGTAGGTGGGTGAGTAAGTCAGGAGACAACGTTGGGGCAGCAAAGTCTTCACCATTTTCGAACTGCTGGGTGTTGCTTTTAAAGCACTGCAGGCCCTCGAGTGGTTCTAGAACCTCCTTGTGTCCCTCCGGCCCTGCTTACCTGGTACTTGAGAGCCTATGGGAAGGCTCTGGGCTGTGTCAGGGGTGGGTTAGGGCGGGAATCACTAAAGGGAGTGTTGTTTGAGTCTTGAGATGACTCTGTGCCAACCCCCGCACTCCAGCTTCCCAAGGTCTCAGTGGGGGCCGTTGTGGCTCCTCGTCCCATCCTCACAGCGGCTGGGCATGGGTGGGACACTTCCCCTTTCTCAAGGCCTGACCTCTGTCACTGTGAGCCCGCTTCATCTGCAGGTAAAGGAAGACTGGAAGTATGTGGCCATGGTCATTGACAGGATATTCCTCTGGCTGTTTATCATCGTCTGCTTCCTGGGGACCGTGGGACTCTTTCTTCCTCCGTATCTGGCTGGAATGATCTGATTTCGCATCCCTTGCTTTGGCTCAAAGGTGACACTGCTGATCATCTTTGCTGCTGCCTCTAGAGTCCGCCTTTGGAGTCAACGCTGTATGACTGCAGGTGTCTCTCCGTGGAGTCCCTACACTGGCCCAGTCATAGAAGACTTCCTGGCACAATTCATTTGATGGTCTTGTACAAATCTACTGGGCACAGAGCCCTGTTCTGGATGCTGAGGAGCTAGGAAAAGAAGAAGCTTGCTCTGCAGAAGGTTATGACATGGTGGACAGTATGAAGCCATATAAGATCATCCTGCAGGAGCTACACAGACACTGAATGACAGGAGGGCAGGGGTGGGGCCAGGTGAGGAGGGACAGAACATTTTTTTTTGGGAAGAGGGCAGAGGGTGCCGCAGGGGACAGAAGGGCCATGAGCAACATGCTGGATTCAGGAATGGGCCAGAAGTGTCAGAATAGCCAGGCTGAGGTGGAGCTTCAGTGTGGAGCAGCAGTGGAAAGAGGTTGGGAAGACAGTTTGGGGTGTCTTTGATCCAGGTAGAGAAAGAAGTTCAAGGTCTAAGCCCACAGGTATAACAGTAGAGTAGTAAAGTCTTTCCCAGAGCGGGTGAAGGGGAGCCAGGCCCCAGGTGGGGTGGAGGTGCAGGGTGGACTCTTGGGGCAAAGGAGGATGCATGGTTGGTTGTAACTAGCTGGGCCACCCCACCTACCTGGAAGCTATTATGAGCCCCCCAACCTTTAGTGCCGTCCTCCAGCTTTCCCTGCTGCAAACTGGCTCAGCACCAGTCTGGCAGTGCTGAGGGGCCCGGTGTGCAGGAGCACCATCTGTCCTCACACACACGTGGACAAGCCACAAGGCCATCCTGAGCCGTTCTTGATCCAACTCAAGCTTGCAGCCTGTTCCTTCCCTCCCTTCCAGGGCGAGTGGAGATTGGAACTCGGGACATGGGCTCTGAGTGACTGAGGGGAGTGGGTGGATTGCTTGGGACCCTGGGTCCACTGTGTAAATGCAAACGCTGCAGGATCCAGGACTGCTTCCCTCCCCAGCTGGCCCACCTTGTCCTTCCCAAAGCTGCGTTATGTCTGACCTGCTCTGAACTGTTTTGTGCAGTCTGTTCCCACCCCTTGGAACCATGGCCTTCAGCAGCAGCAGCAGCCCAGAGGAGCTGTGGCCCCTGGATGGGGCCTCGCCCCTGCCCCACCCAGCCCCGGAGGGCAGAACCTCAGCAGCTAGCACATGTGGACACTGGGGTCTCCAGACAGTGTGGGAACCCCGGAAAGAGAGCCAAGTAGGACAGTCTTCCAGTTTTTCCTTCGGCCTTTGGGATCCCCTCCTTCCAAACCCCCACCTACCTCCCCCTGACAGACTCAGAGAAAACCCGCAACACTCTGCCCAGGCGTCTGCTTCTCAGTTTTCTCCCAAGGCCCCCCATTCAGTGGCCCATTCTGGTTCCTGGACCCTCGTCGCTCCTGTGCACACAGCCCCCAGCCTCCCTCCTAGCTCTCCCCAACTGGATGTCCCGGTGCAGTGATGTCCCCTCATGTTAGTCTTCCTCCCACCCATCTAGCATGTGAGTAAAGAAATCAAATAAAACTGAAGCCACTGCTTTTAGCTGTGGGACCCTCTTCCGCATCCCCTGGACCCTCCCGCTCCCCTCAGTTGTTCAGATGCCAGCTGGGTGAGTGCCACCCCATTGATATTCCTCATGTGGCTGTGGAGAGGGCTGTCCTCGGTCCCCACTGCAGAGCAGCCCTCCGGTTTGATGCAGGGGAAAGAGGTTGGGACACATACCTGACCCCACTGCGCGGGTGTCACCAGGAGCCCCGGGGTTGAGCGCCGGTGTCAGCCCTTGATCTACGCCCAGCTGAGCACAATCAGTTTCTTCCAGAGCTGTGGCCTGAGGTCAATGTCCCCCCACAAAGAGCCGGTCAAACAAACAAAGCAGTCAAACCACAAAGCAAATGGTACAGTTTTAATTCATCCACAAGTCAAATAGAAAGAATGTAAAGAGTGTTCTGCAGAAATACCAGAGAGAAGAGGGAGGGAGCTGAAGAGAAAGGGGGAGAGAAAAGGAGAAGGAGAAGAAAAGAGGAAAAAAGGAGGAGGAGGCAAAGTAAGGGAAAAGAGAGAAAAGCGGGCATGAGGAAGAGGCGGATTGTGGTCCAAGTTCTGTTTGGCCTCGTCTCCCCTTCTCCTCGACACCTGGCGTGTTGACAATACAGGGTCCTGTGCCCAGATTCCGGATAGCTTGTTGCTGGACTGTGTCCCAGGTCCCCCCTCGGGGGCACATGGCTGTCAGTCCAGACCAAACTCAAATTAAATAAATTCCAATATACACTGTACAAGAAAGCCAGGTCCATCCCTCATCTCGCCAGCTTCCCACCCCTCCCCCCCCAAGAAAGCCACTCCCTTCCCCTCTGCATCCGGGGACCTCCGTAGGTGGAAGAGGAAGGAGAAGAAATAGCTTGGTTCCCAAATGGCCTGCTATGTCCATGCATAAAGCCATCATGGCTGCTGGGGCACCAGCGTGACCCCCCCTTGACAGGCAAGGCAGGTGTGAGGAGGGTGTGGTCGGGGGCCGCAGTGCTCCCTCTGAGCCCTCTGTCACTCCCTGGTGTCTACAGTCCTGAGTCCCCTTTGTCCAGCTGAAGCCTGAGCAGCACAGTCTGGGGGTGGGGGTGGGGAGAGGGGGTCGTGCAAAGTGGCAAGGAAGGACTCCCCTGGGCCTTCCCCCTCAGAAGACCCACATGACTGAAAGCAAGGCAGGGGCCGGGGGCAGGGGAGGTACACGACAGGCGGGGGTGGAAGACGTAGGCAGGTGGCGTCCACCCTCTGTCACTCTGCAGGCGGGTGGGCTAGGTTGGCCAGAACCTTGGCCTGGTCCACAGCATCGAGCAGGTTCTTGGCGTCCACAGCCAGGGTGTGAGAGGCTGTGAGCATCTGCCGCTTGCACTCCTCGCTCAGGGATGTCACGGCGTTTTGCTGGGCCAGTCGCATCTTATTGATGAGCTCTGCCAGGTCCTTGTTGAGCAGTTTCTGGGTCCCTTCAATCTGTAGGGAGAATGCATAGGAGAGGCTGGGAGCCTGAGGGGCTGCAAAGTCTAGGTCAGCAGGATGGGGAAGCCACACAAGTGTCCACCTTGGCATTGGCTGAGACGGTCAGAAGTTCTTGGGGGGCATGTCAGATGCAGGCCGGGGCTGAGTCTAAGGCCACATGCTGGCTGGAGCCCAATCATCAAGGACAGACACTGCAGACATCCCAGACCCCAGCCCACCACCCCAGGACAGCTCTGTCTGATCCAGCCCCATAGGCCCCCCCTTCATAGGCCCACACCTCCCCTTGTGTGGGCCCAACATCCGAGTGGATGGTCAGGGGTCAAATGCATTTATTCAGTTGTTAGCTGTCTGCCATCAAATCAAGATCTCGGGGACTGTGGTTTGAGCTGTAGGGTTTTGTTTACTGCCATGTGCCCAGTGCCTAGCACTCTGCTGAGCACAGACGCAACACGCAAGAGATATTTATCAGGTGAAATGAATGGTTGGGCCATGATACCAAGGGTAAGATGCTCTTACGTCAGACAGGACAGTCCGGCCTGGAGCTCCTCTGTGGGCTGCTGCTGCCACCCCGAGGGAGGCTGAGAAATGCCCCCACCCCACCGTCCCATCTAGAGTAGTCACATGAGGTGGGCACAGTGGTGGGATGTGGTGGTCACTTGGGCCACATCGCTGACCACTGGGAGATGCTACGTCAAACCGCAGCCTGCCAGGGGCTGTGGGGTTTTGCGGGCGTCTGTGGCTGATTTCTGGACAGACAACCAATAACTGCGTGGAGGCACTGTATCGGTTTCCTATTGCTCCGGTGACAAAGTACCACAAACGCAGTGGCTGAAAACAACACAGCTTTATTCTCGAACAGTTCTGGCGGTTCGGAGGTTTGGAATGGGTCCTACCGGGCTGAAGCCAAGGTGACAGCTGGGCTGCGCTCCTTCTGCGGGCTCTAGGGGAGAATCTGGTCCCTGCCTTTTCCAGCTTCTAAAAGCTGCTGTCTTCCTTGGCTACTGGATCCTTCCGGCCCAACTCTGAAATCATTCCAAGCTCTTCCTTCTGTCATCACGTCTCCTCTCCGACCCTTCCTCACAAGACCTCTGCTTCTGTCCCCTCCTTTAACGGCCCTTGTGCTTGTGACTACACTGGGTAATCCAGCATACTCTTCCTATCTCAAGGTCCGTAACTTAATTATGTCTGCAAAGTCCCTTTTGTCATGTAAGGTAACGGTCACAGGTTCTGGGGATTAGGACGAGGATGTCTTTGAGGGGCTATTATTCTGCCTTCCAAGGCACCACCTCAGTATAGAGCACCAAGATTCCTATTTTGGTTTTCAGTGGCTGTTTCTCATTTAAATAAAGAAAATTAGATTAAATGATCAATTAAAGAAACCTTAACTGCTATTTCAATAACATACTCACCTTAACTTTAACATGAAGGGTGACTAGATAAAGGATCACAGGAGGGGCAAAGGGAAGGTGTGTCCTCCTTCACTTATCCTCACACATTAAGAAGGCACTGCCACTGGGACCTGAACTAGGAATTTTGCCCTAAGAAGCTGGCTGAGTCCCTGGGGGCCTGCTCAGCCCCACAGTGGGACCTGCTCAGATAGGCTGTGCAGAGCCACCTGCTGAAGGCTCAGCAGGCAGAAATGAGACGCCCTAGGTGGCCGTCGTGAGCCTCCTGTGTGAAACAGCTGGGGCAGGTGGAAGTGAAGGGGAGGAGTGACAGCCAGGGGCACTGTCTGGGGTGAGGACACTTACCTCTGTCCGCGAAGATGATGGCAAGGAGGGCAGGAGATTGTCCACACTGCCGATGAGCTTCCGCAGGGTCAGGCCCACATTCTGGGAGAGAAAGGGGCAGGGTGACCGTCACCTCTTGCTTCTTAAGAAAGCCATGTTTCCCTTGGGAAGAGCCCTCGTGGGACTGTACCTGCCTTCCGAGGCTACCTGGGGCCAAATTC